AAAAGCCTATTTAAATATGTCCCAGGAAAGCTTGACTTATTATAGAACCATTCCACAAGCACTGAAAAATGCTCCCTCACCCACAATGTGCTAAGACACACAGCATTACAACTAGGCCTGAGGAAGGGTGAGAAATGATAGCAAAGATGGAGAGTTAATGTATCCGGTTGTAGCTGCAGGCAGTTGATGAGTTTATGGAAATTACACTTGTATATACAGTATGTAAATCAATCTGCAAAGCCAACCTCTAGCTCCTGAATTGAAATTAGAAGTGGAGCAAAAAAGATAAAAGAAGAGCTACACATTTAGGCACATATAAACACAGCAATAACATCAACATTCAATATTCCAACAATATTTCTCCAGTTAGTAATCTGTGTAGACCTAGGGGAGGAAAGTAGAACAAGCCTTAGTCTCTTAAACTGAATTATGAAAATGAGAAAGGAAGAATTTCAGAAAGTGAACTTTTTGAGGGAACGACTCAATGACCCTGCAGTATGCTTTCTCAGAAATTAGATCTCACCTAGGAGCTGGCGGGTTTCTTTTTGGTAATATTTCGATGTTTCAGTTGTCAACAACAAAACAGAATGAAATTAATCACAAAAAAGTGAATGAGTAAAAAGTAAATATCTTTACTCACTAATACACCTGAGTGGAAGTAAAAGTATTACGAGTCGAAAATACTCACAAGAGTACAAAATCATCAGTATTTCACTTAAGTACTTGGACTTGAGTAAATGTAACTAGTTACTACCAACTTCTGGTCACAATATGCTTTTCTGAGCATATCGTGTATCTCATCAGTGCTTAAAGAATAGACTACCGGCATGTTTCATTAATAAGAGAACATAAATAGTGATGATTAATTAGATTTGGTTCAGTGCAGTTTGTGAAATACTGAATTAAATGATAGTAGTAGTAAGTTTATTGTAGTATTTTTAGAAGTGTTCATAAGATTTGGCACTATGGGTTCTACTTTGACTGATCCAGCCTATTAAAGCTCAGAAAAATCGTGCATATCGTGCACATTGTGTATCGTGAAAATGTATTGAAGTATCGTGATCATATTTTTGCCATATTGCCCACCCCTAAACCACACATCTGATTGTTGTTTTTATGACCTGACTGCAAAACTAATGTAAACCTGATTAGTTGACAGCATGAACAAAGTATCTCCCTAAGGTTATTCCTCTCTCTGAAGTCTTCTACAGCTTCTACTGATAGTTGAGACATGTGTTGAGGAGGGATTACTCATTTTCCATATTTAATAATGATGGTGCATCTACCATGTTCCAAAGGCTGTTGGAATCTTGTTAGAATGCACCTCCAACTAGGGCAACAATCCAAAGCAAACCCACACCTCCAAATCCAGATCAAAATGGATCACTGACCACAAAATCAAGTTTTGCAATGGCCATCACAGTCCCCTGATTTCAACTCAGCTGAAAATGCACCAGTTCCAATGAGCAGGTTTGTCAAGGTTTTTGGATGGAGAACTGGTCTCAGATCTTTTTGTATTTGTTCTCTCATCTTATCCTGCATTATAAGAGAAAAGTCACAAATCACAAACTTTTGGAAGCCTGGTTGTGCCACTGGAAAAAATATATAGCCATTTAGTAAGTCATAACAATGAGAAAACATTCCATACTTGTGACTTTGTGTCTCATAATTATGACAGCACATCATAACTATGATTTGCTACCTCTTAATGATAATGAGATTCAATCTCATAATTATGCCTTAATATGTCAACTGTGATTTGGCATCACATAATAATGACTGTCATAGTTATGATTCGGTATCTCATAATAATGATGTAGCATCTCATGACTTACTATGCCATACTTATGATTTTACATCTCATAGTGTTTCATAATTATGACTTACTTTGTCACAGTTATAACTTCTAATTTGACTTTGTCATACTTACGACATGGTATCTCATATGAGAAAAAGTCATAGTCACGAGACTACAAAATTTCATTATGAGTTAAAATATAATTATGGGATGATGATCATATGAAAAAACCTGTATTAAAAAGCGTACATTAAAATACATCACATCCAGACAGGACATAATAAACACATCTATTTATATTTGTCTGTACACATATAAACATATTTTATATATCTTGTCTTTTTATTATGCACGTATTAATTGAGATGGATTCATTAAATAAAGCTATAACGAACTCAAACATGAATAGCCTGGCAGGCAGTTTGTCTGTGCCCTTTTCTCCATGTTTTCCTTGCATATAGTCCCCACCATGGTTTGCTCTGCTGCATGGAGATGCTTCAATTGCTCGGAGAAAGGAGTAAAAATGTTTGGTTTCTCCACTGACACAGAGAGAAGAAAAAACTGCTGCAGCCACACCACTGGGAAGCTTAACGTTTTATTTATTAAAAATAAGGAACAGGTAAAGAATTGCAAACCCCAGGGAGTTGAGACTCAGGGTGCAGGGTGGGGGTGCTGTCTTATTGTAGGGAGTCTCTAGGCTGAGTTGAATCCCCCTGTGGTTCTTGCCATTAATCCAAAATCAACGTAACTGCAACATAATGTTCAGATAACAGTCAACAGAATCACAAAGCCTGCAAACACTCAATCCATAAGTCTTATATTTGTTTACTCTTTAAAGTCTCCAATATGCGCTCTAAATCCGTATCAGTAGTGACAAATCATGAAAATAGCTCCTTCTTTTTACTGTATAACTTACGTTAGCTCGTACTCCAAAATGGATAACGATATTCTCATTTTATCTCCTCCACCTCCTCCCCTCTACAAGCTCTGCCCCAATGTTATATTTAACTAATATTTAACTCCCATCCACCCCGTGCAAAATCATGTTTAGAAGCCTTTTCTAAGATTCAACAACGGTGGATGAAATGAAGTTAAGAGCAGGGATTTTACAATTACTAGGCTGTTTATGGTTCACATTATGGGTTCCTAACTTTACTCGGTATCCTAGCCTGATCTGTTATCTGTTAATGTTCCTTAAATCTACTAATTTAATCGGGGATAATCCATGACATATTTTAATCTACATATTAATTTGATTCAGATGTGCTTATTATATACAAACTGATTCTTTAACTGTTTTACCCTTTTAAAGTGCATCACAACCGGGCTATTCTACTGCAACTCGGCCGCGCTGCTAGTATTTGCTGCTAACTTCCGAGAACTACTGAGGGGCTCCACGATCCGCCATTGCTGTAAAAAATGGTTCATTGGAGTGAACGGAGTTGACGCAACTCTCTCTGTATACGGCTCTGGGGAAACCCAGCCCTAGTCGTTTCCCGCATACACTGGAAAGACTAGGCAAATGCAGGACAGCTCCTGTTTGCACGCAACGTAGCCTGAAGCCAAATTTGACGTTTTTCCTCCTATGGTGAAGAATTATCCAACAGGTCAGCACCGCCTGATCCAGGTAAGCTAGTGGTGTTAGCTTTATTATCTTGAACTGCGAACTGTTAAGCTTGGCACCCAAAGCAGTGGGAACTTTATCAACTATTAGCCTAAACATTGAGCAGCTAATGTCCAGACTATTAGCAAACAGTGCCTGACTACATAGCAGCTTAATGCCTACACTGAAAAGTCCACCATGAGATACTAACAGACTGAAATAGAACCACTGACGAGGACAAAACTCCGAGAAGGTGGGCTGGAGTTAGGGTTGACTTCTTTGTGCTTTAATGTCAAACTCCTTTAGCTACTTAAGATTGTAAACATGGACGCGACTGGAGAACATGGAGGTGGTGGAGTGCAAACATTAGGAAGGATGAAAGGAGAATTTACAGAGTATTCTTTCTGTTATTGTACAAAAATGTACACAAACACAACTTCCTAGCATATAATAGTAAGTAATGTACAGTGAGGCCTGCACAATCTGTTTGGGGAGCACTCAGTTTAGACGCCAGTTTTGGAGTCACATGTATTGTTATGCTACTGGATATTGGCGTCTACAAACTTACAGAACTGCTACTGTGGACTGTAAACAAACTATAACTCATTGATACATTTTAAACGCTTATTTTTTTTGCTTTTCTTTATAAACGTAATGAAACAATGACCCAAAGTGCAAACTTACGGGAACACCTGCAGAGCCGTCGGCGTGTTTCACTGCTCGGGTTTGAACACATTCCTCATCACTGGATTTCGCGCCATGTTCTTGAGCATCCTTTGACTCTCAGGGTGTAACACTGCCATCTCGTGGACAACACGAGTATTGATGTTTGCCCGAGATCACTGACGTCAACAGTTAATATCCACCAGCAATAAATAATCTCACAATAAAAGAGGGGAAATCGGATGAGGAAGGCAAAACAGTTAACATTGCTTTTCTCCAACAATGCTATTCTGCACACTTAAAAAGATGGTTCTTCAAGAGTTCTTTTGTACAGGCAATGGGTCTATTTGTTCTATATAGAACCATTTAATGCTTAAACTGCTCTTTGCATGGTGAAATTTTTTTAGGGGAATGTGTTTTATGTGGTTGTATACAGAACCTTATTGGAAATGGTTCTGTATAGCACCAAAAAGAGTTATTCTTCTATTTTGATATCAAGTGTTATTATCTGTCTTTGCATCAGTCAAAAGTTTGCAATACACTTGACTTATTGTAATCTTAAATACAATTTGCCCTAAAGGTTTAGGCTAAAATGCAAATACAAACATTTGTTTTAAGATGCAAATAGTGAAGTTGAAGCCTATGTGAGGACCACAAAAAAAAAAAAAAGTGATTTTCAGTAACAAGATCTCAGCATATTTATTTAACACTTTTTTGGTCTCTGCCTAATTTCATATAAAAATAAAGAAAACCAATCTATAAGTGTGTCCAAACTTTTGACTGTACATAGAGTAGCCTACTCCTTGTCAAAACTCAAAAACATGAAAGAATGACACATGAAATGACATCTGAAAATTTATTTGTAAAAATGGACATACAGTATGGTCACATGGATTGTATAGCTGACCTAAGAAACAATTGACTGAGCTTTAACAGGTTTTATACAAGAATTACATACTTTTACATGTGCTTTACTGACAGTTCCATTCATCTCAGACTGTATGTCATGTGTGACTTTGCACTGTAAGGCAAGTTCAGTTTTCTCTTTGGGTTGGGGGGGACGTTGATTTCTGGTTCTATCGAGAAGTGACAGAGCTGGAATGTGACTGGCCAGAAGAGGTGGTGGCAGCACTAAGCTGGGAGAAACCGCTGTGACTGGACGCCAGACTGGTCATTGAACCCCTGACATACACATACACAATTGAGAAACACATGCAAACAGACTGGTAAACAGTAACTATAAAGACATTTCACATTTAGAGTTTTTGCAGTACAATAACAGAGACAGGTGAATATAATCATTCTGATATTTTTGTTCACTTGTTTTTATGTGCAGTAATATATCCTAAACGATCTGATGTTTAGCTCTTGCTTGCTTGCCTTGTCTTTTTTCTTGTCTCTTTTGAAAGTTTAATGCAAACACTTTAGGCTAAACCTACATTATGTATGACCTTTCCTTTTTGTTAAAGAAATATTAAAAGTATAGGACAGACCTGAAGTCGGCAGAGTGCAGCACTTCGGTGTAGTACATGACCTTGCACTTGTGGGAGGAGACCTGCAGTGAGGCCAGGACATCGTCCACACGGCTGGATGCAGAACAGGCTGGTGTGTTGTGGAACCGCCACTGCAGGATGTAGAAGCCAGGCCAGCGTGTCACATGAGATCCCTGCAGGGAAAATCTAATTTCTACCGTTTTCCTTTCAAACCAAATGTAATCAATCAGCCAAAACAGATTCAGTGTCCAAAGTTTGCTTCTTTGGAGCTACGAGGTTAATGTAGCTAATATTAATAAAAATCCAGGCTTCAAGATGGCTGCTATCACTGTTTTTAGCTATGCAACACACTTTTGTTCATTATTTTTCTCTTAACAAATAAGCTCAAAAGCGTTTAATGCCTCTACCTCACAGAATGCTATTGCACCAAATGCTGACAAACACACTGTATGATGCCTAATATGTTGCTTTATGATAGTTTTAAAATTAAGGCTTTGGCCTAAAATGCGTTTTTTTAAAAACATTCTTGAGAGAAAGGTACATGCAGGATGGTATAAGGAAAAATATTTTTTTCAGATTTACCATCATTTTACCATCAACATTTTATATAAATGTATATTATTTGTAATGTTTATATTTGCGTTGTAGACATTGTACAGAAACCTTGTTAAGTTCTGATAAGTTTTTCTACAATAAACCATTTCACATAAAACCTGAATGACTTGGTTAACATCTCAGTGATTGAACTATGCAGAAAAATCACTATAATTCTCATTCAACTGATCACAGGCTACATTAGCAATGCTTGATGACATTCTGAACACATATGCATGCCACAAATAGCCATACACACCTGTATGCTCTCCCCTTCCCTGCAGGTGAGGGCTGACTCCACCATGCTGTAATCCTGCCCCAACATCCATGACCTGTCAATCACCTGCATGTTGTTACCGCTAGGTCCCGCCAGGCCATGACTACCCAGGGTCTCTCTCTTCGAAGGCTGTGTAGCTCTTTTAGAGTGGTAGATGTTGAAGATGATGTCACCTTTACACACATCAAAGTCCCAGGTGATGACGGAGGACACCTCTGTGATCTCAATCAGCAGCTGAAAATAGAAAAGGGCATAGATTTAAAAGCACAGATTTTAAAACAAATCTGTTTTGCTTTGTAGAGCTGTTAATTATGACTTCCAAATTCCAAATTCTGTTCAGTTGAGTTCAATCCAATCAGTTCAATAGAACCTGAATTATCCCCAAAGGGCAATTAGTGGCAGGCAGGCCCAATACACATACAGTAATAAAATAAAAAAGACACATATAAAAAACAACACAGAACAATGAGATATAATATTCAGTCCATTAGTTCAATTTCCTTGATGTAGGCGATGCTATTACAGGACCAGTTTTCTTTAAAAGGGAACTTGCAATTGGGATAAAATACCTCCTGTGGACTGTTGTACTATATTCAGTAAACACTGATTATTTTGCTTTTAATTCTTACTGCATTACTTTAAAGCATCAGCAGATGGCACTATTCTCCATAACATTTTGTGGCAACAGAGCCCCAGAGCTTCAGCCAGGGGTATTCAGTCCTTTGCCTGGAGGTCTGGTGCCCAAACACACATACAAAACCTAGCAATTAACATACAAGTTGAAACAGGTGTGTTTGAGCAGGGAATCACCCTGTCATGCTAAACTAAATACCCCTGTCCTAGAGCCTAAAAGTAGGCTAATTGCGCTACTGCTTCAGCACTGGATGAGTTATCTAAAGTCAGGTAAGTAAGTCAGTGAACTGTGTGGACTGGACACAGGGTTCTGTGTGGCAGTTGGGTTGAACGGCATGTTTTAACACTTTTCCTCAGTAAACGTTATCACTGGTACGAGGCTGAAGTTGACTTCCTACTTGCTAGCTCGTGTAGCAGTTACAGTGCCCTGCCAAAGTATTTAGCCACCTTAAAAGTCATCATTCATCTCGATTACAGATGATACTTTGATATTTTGTGCTGTGTCATATCTTAAAAGACTGACACACAAGTTTAATTAATTTAAAGTGATATTGGTTTCATGTAGAAAAGAAAAAAATCCTGTGACAAAAATGTCTAATTACAAAATGCTGTTTGCCTAGGTATTCAGCCCTTGTGCTGTGAAAGCTTCAAGTTTACACAGTCCTTATGTACATTGACAAGACAGGAAAAGGCTACAAAATAATATCCAAAACCATTTGGAAATCCCAGTGAATACTGTTGGACAAAGCCTCCCTTAAAACTCAGCATCAGAGCAAGAAGGAAACCTGTGAGTTACAGAGCTAAAGGGTTCAGTCCTTCAGTGCTTGAAGGTGCACCAGTCAACAATATTAATCGCTCTGCAACTGCTATGTATGGTAGGGTGGCTAGGAAGAAGCCATAACTGAAGAAAAAACCACAACAAAGCACATCTGCGGTTTGCCAGAAAGCATCAGAGTGATCCAGCTTAAATTTAGACTAAGGTTTTGTGGTCAGATAAGACAAAATTGAAAAACCTGTGTGGCACAAACCTAACACTGCCTAGTCATCCGCACACACCATCCCAACAGTGAAGCATGGGGGTGGCAGCACTCTATTGTGGGCATGCTTTTCCTCAGCGGGGACTTGGCGTCTTGTTAAAATTGAAGGAAGGACATATGGTGTAAAGTATAGGAAGACACTGTAAGACAACCTGCTTAGGAAAAACCTAAAGCTTGGGAGAAATTCACCTTTCAGCAGGACAGCGATCCCAGGCACAAGGCCAAAGCAACACAGGAGTGGCTGAACAACAGAAATGTGAGTGTTCTACAATGGCCAAGTCCAATCGAGAACCTGTGGCACTATTTGAAAATTGCAGTCCACAAGCATCATCTGAACAATCTGGAGCAAATCTGCGAGGAAGAATAGGCGAAAAACTCTTCCAAACAGTATGCAAAGGTGGAAGAAACTTACCTGAAACTTACTTGAAAGCATACTTTAACAGCATATTGGTTTGCAATAAAAATACCGGCTGGAACAATCTGTGCAAGTGTCATTTATAGTCCAGATAAATCTAATGTCTTTTAAGGGGGTTCAGTATTTTTGCAAAGCACTGTACGTTTTGTTGCCAGCGAATTTTCTGTTCCACCTTGAGCTATGCACCAGAATGTAACTGCTGCATTGTTTAAGGTGGAACAGAACATTTGAATAAGAAGCTAACTTCAGTCTCATAGCATTAGTGATATTACTGCTCAAACACTGAAATAATTAAACATTGTCATGTCGGTTAGTCTAAAGGAGAAACTAAAAATGTAAAGTTAAATCACATAATATGACCAACAGATAGTGAGGTATAACTTTACTCCCAACCTGTACAACCTTGATTATATTCTAATAAACATTAGACAGCTAACTGAAGCTGACTAACTTGTCATGAGATCCTGAACTTACCTTTGTGGTGAAGAAAGTAAATCTCTAAGAAAAGCTTGTAGCCCTTATCAAGCTTTTTTCCTCTCAGAAAATAAAAACTTCTCCATCAAACGATCAATGTCTTTCATGGGAAAAAGTAGGTAAATAGATGTTAAAATAAGTCAGTCCTCTACATCAGAGACATTATAAAGGAGGACTTTGTCTGCATTTTTATTTAGAAACGCCTGTGCTGCTGTATTGTTTTCCCTGCTATGACAATCTCTGCTGCTTTATATACAGAAGTGTGAAAAGGCTCTATTGTGGAGAAAGCCCAGCAGGAGAAAGCTACCTCATGTGGAGCTCCTTTGAACACACTGGCAGTTTTGTAGATGGTTTCAGTCCAAAGTTTGACCTCCTCGTTCTCCAGCTCCTCAGCTGTGTGGTATAAAGACTTGGGGACCAGCCCGCCTTCTGGGACATCACACTGTACAGTGAAGAGAGACAATGAATCAGCAGAGATTGGATCAGCTCTCTTTACTTGGAGATTATTTTTGTCTTTTAATTCTTGATGGACTGCTAATTTTGAAGATTCTTTGATACAGATTAAAAATTTGTTTTATCTTAGGTTCCCTTATGACATAATTCATTTTTACATGATTTCTCTATCATTTGAAATTAAAAAAGTTTAATTCCTTTAAGACTGATGTATGTAAATGACCTCTGTCCTGTTTGGCTTCCCAGTGTTGTGTTTCTAAAATCAGTCCAGGTTGAAACACTCCTTATAACTTCACTGTGAATGGGCTGGGCTTAACTGTTGTAGGCTGACTTATCAGATGTATGTAAATGTTTTGGTGTTTGTGACACAGAATTAGAATGAATAGATAAGAATGAAACCCTATAACCACACCGGCCCATTGCGGATAAGAGATAGAGCAGGAAAAACACTGTCCAAACATCCCTGTTGCAACTAATTCTCTAATTAGTAGCTTGGAAAAGACTAAAATATGTACCAGAGTTGGGAACCACTTCTGTAAACATATGGCATAAATAGAGATAGTAAGAAGCTATATATATATATATATATATATATATATAAATACTTTCTATTGGGTGGTAGCCGTTCCAAACCCTAACCCCTACATTTCAACTTGTAAAAATAATACTTAAATTGTTTTGGACATTTTTTATTTCTTTTAAGGTGATATTGAAAGATTTAGATTTATCATGAGTTTAGTCCATGGGCGGAGCCTTATTTTAGCCACACCCCTGCATATATCCCATTGTTTTTTAAGTAAATCTGCCCAAAAGTCTTAAAATCAGTTTGCAACATTAAGAAATGTCACTACTGAAACACATCTTTTCTGTATTTAAGTAAACATTTTTGTGTTTTAATGAAACATATGATTTTCTGTGTGTACAACTGGCTAGCGTTTTATAGTGATAATTGTTTTGGTAGTGATACAATGGAACGTTCAGTCGTTTTTTCAATAAAAAAACAATTAAATTATAGGGTCATTCAGAGAAAACGGATTGTAGTCTAAAGTCCAAGTCAGTTAAAAGTCTGTGTTTTGTGTTTTCAACTCTGAACTTCGAACCAATTTGGTAGAATGAAGTGTTCTTGTATCTCTCACCCCATTAAGTTTGACTCCACTTAAGCTGAACATCTGACCACTGCACAAGGTTCTTACCTGACAGTCTCCTCCAAGGAAATCAGGGATGAAGTCTCTGCTGATGTAATCCACCAAGCCGTCTGAGCCCTGATAATCGTTCCCAGCGTAGATGAGGAACTTCTTACGAGTATTCTCATCAATAAACGGGCTGATCTATGTGCGTAAAAGGCAAAGGTCAATAATGCCAAAGGCCATTTGCATCTGCACTGCAGTTAAACAAGTACAGCACAAACATGGCATTTACAGAGGCCTTCTAATTAGCAGCGCTAGAGAGAGTAATAACATCTTCCAAATATGGACTAACATGTGACATTTAAACACAGATGGTTCGATGTCTGTTGACATTTAGAGCCAGTCAATAAAGAGCAGATAGGTGAGTGTCTGGATATATGTAAGCAAATACGACCCTTTCAGACAGGACAACACAGTGTGTGTGAAAATCTGTGTGACACCAGTGTAAGTGTGCTTGGATGGTCTCTAACAAGTGAGTGTGAATGTAACATACGCTGCCAATAGCTATTTTAACTAGCCTTGTAGGTCATAACTAATAACTAAATTGCCCCATAACGAATATAACCACCTTGGCATCATTAGTCACGTATACCCAGCAGTAGGCTTCACCACCGGTTCTTACCAGCGTCCAGAGCACAGGGAAGACTCTGGGAGCCCTCACTATAAGCAGCCGTCCTAGTGTCTCAGGGTAATTTGCTTCCACCACCTCAATGATCCTCAGCAGGGCTTTAATCCCCGGCCTCCACAGGTGCCTCATGTTCAACCCCTCCAGATCCACCAGGCATGTCCAGCAGCTAGCCATTTTAAAAAAGATTACACACAAAAGAATAAGTATACTGTACTTCACTACATAGACATTAGCAGCTGTACTAATTCAGTTTACTACCTGATGGGTCTACCAAAGATATTTGTGTTCTCTTCACAGCGTCTGAGACCTTCCTCATTGATGGACAGCACCTGATGGAGGAATGAGGAAGAGATCAGAAAGTGTTTTTATGTTATTACTGCATAGTCAGTCAGGGGATGTGCTGCTCACATGTCTAAGAAGACTCTCTTCTCCCAGTGCACGCACAAGTCCTTTGGTGTCCATTTGTCCCAGTCGTAAGATGTAGAGGGGGCGGCCATCTATGTGAAACACACACAAGCACATACACGTTTGCCTCCTTGCTCTGACTTCAAAATATAGAGTCAGCTTTCATATTGAGGTGACTGTACTCCATAATGAGCCTGTCACTGCAGTGGTACTATTCTAATTACTAATTAATGAATTCAGATATTTCTAATAATAATAGTAATAGTATATATTAATAGTATATAATAATAGTTTATTGGAGGCAATGCAAAACCTAACTGGAAACCACTGAAAACTGACCGGAGTAATCTACTCAAACTTTCTTTTCCTCATAAGCATTGTCATATGCACAGAGAAACAGTTTGCACTATATAATGAATTTCTTACTTTACATATTCATGCCTGGTGCCACAATAAATACTAAAAAGAAAAAAAAAAAAACATACAAATAAAAAATGAATATAGGATTATATACCTTTAGACAATAGAAGATATTAAAATAGAATCAAACTACGTGAAAAAAAAAATATATATAGATTAAATGTAAGTATAAAGACTAGATGGTACAATAAAAGCTATTTACATATATACAAGAAGTAAGAGGACCAACAATAACAGAGGTAGACACTGAAAACTGTCAAATAAAGTGCAGTAATTATGCAAGGCTATTAGCAGTGCTACAATTAGCTACATAGAGACAGAGATGTCTTTAGAATTTGTCTTAAAAATTAAAATTAGAGTGTTAATCTGTGCCTAAAATACATCACACAGTAGGTCAGTGAGTGAACTTGTCTGTGGAAAATGTGCAGCTCAAAAACTGAGTCATCACATTACTGCTCATTTGCCATTACATGTGGTGTGCTCTCTGTTTTCAGCTCAGGTCAGTGAATGAGGGTATCCATTAACAGATGCCTGTCTGTGCATTAGACCAGTGTAACACAAGTATTGAACTATATATATAAAGCTATAGCTACATAAATATATAGCTTTTATGACATGCAAACAGTTTTAGGAGAATAGTTTAGAGGAAATAAAATCAAATTTACACAATATTTCCCCTTGTACCCCAAATGCAGACATCAGCCAAGCCATGTTTGGTGTCTGAAGTTTGCTTCTTTGGTTTTGTTCTAGAGGCTGATGTAGATATCAGGTAAAATTAGTTTAAACCCCACCAACTACTATTAAGTTATGGACAAAAATAGACAAAGTACGTTGCATAAAAAATGTCTGTCCATTGTTATAGATAACAGTTTCTCCTAGAAATTTGAGATACCTAACAACTCAAAGCAGTTTGAGGCAAGTTTGCGATGATTTAGTCATGCAGATTGCACAATACTAACTGTGTAGATTAGCTTTCCTTCCTTACTTAGCCTCTGAGTTCCAGTGCAAAATTAAAGACGCAGACTTTGGACACCAAACATGTCTCTGCATAACGGCTACGTTTGGGAAAGCAGAAAAATTGTGTAAATTTGATTTTTCGCTGAACTACTCCTTTAAGCATAGTTAAACAGCAAAGAGTTGGATGCTATATAAAGCTATAATGCCTTTGTCGTGATGGTGCCATCCTCCTGTGTAGTAGTCGTGCAGCAGTTGCGGACATTGCCACGTGTCCAAAAGGAAGTCCACCTGGTGCTGTTTCCTCCAGGTCAGCGTCTGGCACAGTGCCTCCCGAGCCTTCTCCAGGCTGAAGTCCCGTGAGCGCAGGAAGCGCAGCACATGCTGGTCTTTGGGGAGCTGCAAGACATGGACATGACAGAAGAAAACTAATATTGTGTATCTATTAAAGCTTTAATCAGGCCAGAAACTTGGAACCAAATTTAAACACTGCCTGAGAACGTTCTGCCCAAATCCATGAGGTTTTGAGTTTTACACAAACATAGCCTGACAAAATTTAATCCGACCCCAACTTAGTACCAACTGTAGACTAATTAAAGCTCCACATGTCTAACAGTGATGTAAGAATGTAGTGATGCATCGTGCTGCACTGATCTAGGGGCAGTCGTGGGCTGGAGGTTAGGGAACCAGCCTTGTGACCGGAAGGTCACCTGTTCGATCCCCTCAGCTGACAGTACATGACTGAAGTGCCCTTGAGCAAGGCACCTGACCCCCGACTGCTCCCCGGGCGCCATGGATAGGGCTACCCACCGCTACCCACTGCTCCGGGCAAGTGTGCTCACCGCCCCCTAGTGTGTGTGTGTTCACTAATGCGTATGTGGTGTCACTGCATGGATGGGTTCATTTCATTCATTTCATCTAAAGGTGGTGACTCATATCCATTGAATTTTGCGGTTGACTGTAACCTATAATCAGTTTTAACAATATTCAAAACTGTGCTTGTTTTGACAGTAAAATTCATGCTATTTAAAATGCAAAAGTGAAAAAGCCTATTTTATTATCTATAGTGAACTGCTAACAATACTGTGCATTAATAAATTCTGCATATTTTGAATCATAGTAAAATCTGAGACTTCATTATGCACAGAAAGGTCTCCTTCACTGTAGAAAGTAAAACAGGGCCAAAGTTGATTCAGGGTTTTAAATTGATGCAAAATATTGCTTTTCTTCATATGATCTAAAATGTTACTTTGCTTCGTGCCATTTACTGTATTGATTTGAGATTAAAAAACAGGTCAAACTGATTGTTACCACATGAAGTAATTTTTCAGGCTTAACCGACAAACTGTTTCTTTGAGGGTAAAGAATCGTAATGAAATTGAATCAGGATCAGAGATTTACCCCACTTGTTACTAACAATGGTTTCCTTGATGTAACATAAGTGGGGTTTCCATTCAAATCAGCAGTCTTTCCATCAACTGCTGTTTTGCACAAATTCCTGAAGATGTGACATGCTTGTGCCATACTGCGTGAAACAACGCTCTCGCTCACTGTGTGTGGCATATGCAATTGAGGGATTTGAACCTTTATTATCTCTCTGTAGAGCAATTTTGACAGCCCTCTGTCAGCTGTATGTGACCAACAGGTCAGAGTCATGGAGTGGCAAGTGGCCCAGTTGCTGTTCCACTTTGTTGTCACCAGTTTCTATCACACTTCTTTTGCATTACCACTGTATCAATAAAATACTTTTTAACCCTATCCAAACATAAAAACTTCTCTTGCAATATTTAGGCATTTATTTTGAATTTCCATCCAATGTTTTGATGCACATTTTGAAAATTTGCATTAAAATGTCGACAGAAAACCTTCAAGTTTCAGCTTTTCAGAATTAAATTCCACTTGGGAGATGGCTGTGAGAAAGCTGACCAAACGAGACATAAATAGTCAAATCTTATCAATCAACACTATTCCAAGTTTTAGTGTGTATGTGGCGTCTCGCTACCTTGCCCTTGTGTGTTTCCTGCAGCCACTGTCGCAGACGGATGAGGCAGCTCTCCTGCAGAGGGCTCAGCTCTCCCAGATAGCGCCTGATGTAGTCTGCATCTAGCTTATCTGGAACAGACATACCACAACATTAACACAAATTATACATAAAATCCATCTGTAATACATCTAATCATGTATACAATGTATACAAATGTATACAAATGCACTTGAATTCTAGCCGTATTTTTCCTTTCAACAGTCTTTCCCATTCAGACACAAGTTAATACCCACTGCTTACATACTCTCCCTCATCAAATGCTTGGGGAAACATTTTCAAAATGTTGTGATAACTGAGCGTGCTTGATCTGTCGATCAACCAAAAATTAAATAGAAAATTTATTAAAGAGAAGCTGTGGGTTACTATTTAAAAGATGCTGTGGGTTGTAGAACATGCCCCATGTATTAATAAATAACTGTTTTATGTTTAAAAACAAAACTTTTGACCTAATTGAAAAAGTAAACGGCCTACTTTGTAAATTTTCTAAGCTTTTGACAGATAATGTCAAGCTGCACACAAATATAGATATCTAGAAAATACTGCAGGTCACCTCACCTTCGGGAGACCCAGGTAAGACCTCTGCAGGGCTGTTGGGGGCTCTGCTGTGCTCCTCTCTGCTGCTGGATGTTGGGATGGCTTTGGCTGAGCTAACTATAGCGCTAGTGGAAGGAGGGCTCCAGCGGGGTATGAAGGTTACACCCTCTGCCTCCAGCTCCCTGAGATAATACTCAATTATCTCCTTCCCCTGTAGAGAGAAATATGAGAGAGAATAGAGAGAGAGAGAGGGAGAGAGAGAGCGATAATAGGAACCTCCTTAATAAAAGTCACTACAATTAAAAATTTGAAATCACTTGCCAAATATATAGTTACATAATAATAGCTAACTTTTTTTAAAAGTCAAATTGTACCATTTTTCAAATTCGAGACATTTTAGATATTCATTTTATTATTATTAACATTGCTACACAGCTTTCTCAATGGAACCATAAAGAGCCCTGTTCACTCAACATTTCGTAATTCCATTGAATTTAATTTTCAACATCTACTAGGTTGCAGAGTACTAGAGCAATGTTGCATGTATCTGCATAAAAACTGTTTTTATATTACTGAAAATACAGATTCCAAACTTCTGTATTGCTTTCAAACAGTAATGTATATACCTTAGCACAAAACCTAGTTCGCATAGTTCATACCATACACCGAGAAAGCTTCTAATGATGAATGTACCAATCATCACTAAAGTGAGTGGATCTAGAAGTGATGTGATTCTCAAAAAATGCAATCTATTTTTTTTACCTTTTTAATACTGGCGGCATACTGCCTCATGGCGATCTTCTCTGCTGTGCTCTCAAAGCCGAAGAAGGACTTCATATCCATGCTGGCTGATTGCTCAAAACACGTCCAGTCCTCATTTTCCGGGTGCACCTGTGGCGGAGATATTGGACAAGGACAGAAAATATAAATGGAAACAAACCTTATTTAACCTTGTGTGAAGTGGTTTACGGCAGATCAATCCTCCTACAAGTTTAGCAGTTAGGTCTAACACTAAAATCTACCACAGCTGACTAACTATAGATTAGATGAAGCAAGTGTGTTACATTTGGGTTGGAGAAGGTATCTCTCCAGAAGGGCTGCTGACCACTAGTCTTGGGGAAAACTGATCTAAATAATGTCATTATACACTGCATTGACAGTTTATTAGCTTGTACCCATAATAATTGGGCATTTTATCACATACACCACAAAGGTGCACAATATGGGAATACAGTTACTGATTTGTTATAATTGCTGCATGATGTTTCAGCCTGGATAGGTCTAGCAATATAATGGGACAACCACTGGACCACCACTTACCAGCTATTACTTGGGTGCGGGACCACAGCACAGCAGTAACACCACAATGGTAGTGGCAAGGTGGGGTATGTGTTGCTAGTACGAGTGTATCTTTATGTCATTATAGCTTGGGGGGTAAACACTGTGTAAACATATTGCACACATTTCTAGACACACCTACGTAATTGGTACAGCTTGTAGGTGTACAGTAGGTTCATTCATATACAAAACATCGTTTGTGTTAGCTGTGTTAACTTGTAGCCCAGGCCCCGTGTCAGAAGGTCACTGTCCCACCAACTAGTCATTATGTCCCCCACTATTTTATACATGATTCTATAGCGGCAGGCTGCAAAAACAATCGGCGTGAAAGAGCTACTGCTACTGCTTTCCTCATGTGCAGGGCATTAACAGGCTACACTGATTACTATAGGAGGGTTTGAATACATCACTTTTAGGGATGCTGCCTTTTAGGGATGTTCTGGATATTGTAGTAAGATAAATTAGCAAATTTTCTAAATGGGCAGATCGTTGGTGATTGGCTATAAATGTAGCCCTGCTGCTGATTGTCTCCTGAAAGTGTGGCTCCGTTGGTCAGAGACATCATAAATTTCTCACCCCATATTTTCCTTATTTATTTATTTGTTTATTGATTGATTGATTGATTGATTGATTGGCGCATGGAAATACAGCACATGCAGTGACTATATAACTACAAAGCGCATAAAGAAAGGCACTCAGTCCATATTATATTTTTCTTTAAATATAATAGGAAAAGATATCAACACTTGATTATCCGATTCACATCTTTTGTTTTGAGGTATAACAAACAACAAAGTAAGCTCTCTGTTTTTCCCCAAAAGTCTGGGTTAGGAACATCTGCTCTAAATTGCTCTAAATAAGTAATGTGCATTCCTGACCGTGTAGCTGCAGTACTCTCTGACGACCACTCTGCTGGAAAAGGACTCATTGTAGGCTTCAATATGCAGTGTTCTCTGTCTCCAGTCCAGGGTGTTCTTCTGCACAAAGTACAGATATTCCACCCCTGCTATCTGTAGGTATACACAAAGGCCACAGCTGGTCATTGTACATCCAGTCCTTGTGAGAGTATATGAGACTGTAGTGCTAATCTATCCATCTGATGAGTTAGCTTAAGGGACAACTAGGGATGCCTGATGACATCAGAATCATATGACTATCAGCAGATAATGACAATTATAGCAATTATCAGCATTGGACAGCTGTTTAAATTTCATTAAAACAGATATAATGATGTATTTATTGTATCTGGATGAGCTGAATGTTTAAGTGATACTAGGCTACTGAGCTAAAATATCTGCATTTTATTCATTTTACTGCATTTCTAACCCTGCAGAAACAAATGCAATGCTAATCCAGGAAGATGCAATCCCAATTTCTACATTTTATAAATGTACAGTATCTGTATCAGCAGACATAGAAAAATATTCAACCCACAATTCCTGTCTCAGTGCATCCCTAGTAACAACTTCATTAAAAGAATAGTTATGCTTGAACTCAATCATGAACTCTTAAAATGATTAATCATATCTTTTAAATTACATACTGACATGACTACATTTTGGATGACAGGAAATTTCGTGAATTTGATTCCTGAAATATCATTTTAAGTCACTCTTTGGCAGTGTTACTTCTCTCAAACTGTAATGGGAGTACTTCACTGATTACTTCCTGGAAAAAGTAATCTCACTACTCATTACTTCACTTCTAGGTTACTTTGTAAAACCCACACAAATCCAACTTGAAAGTGAAATCTCACAGTCTTTTCAGCTCATTATTTAGAAAGAAATAGCCAGTCACACTAATCCTAATTTTCACAACGTCACAAGCCCTGCCTTTTAACGAGATAAAGCTAGATTTGCTAGATGCATGGCTGTTTGAAAGCCTAGAACCTAGTCAGCAGAAACTGTTCAAAAACAGCTCCCTCATAATATAATCTTTCTAAATTAATTAGTTGCTCCTAAATGAAAATCGAGGCTGGTTGGTTTGGGTGTCGTTGGGGCTTTCTCTTCATCAGCATGGGGATTTTTATTCATCAGTTTTACATTAGTGTGACTAGATGGGTCAACAGATTGTTTGTCGAGTTTACTGTGCTTTACTTTGTACAACGATACCCTCTGTTCTCTTTTGTTACAAGCAAAAAGTAGTCGCATTAATGTAACGCATAACTTTGTACTTTGGTAGCCCCAACACTTCTCTTCAGTCATAAGAGTCAGATGTACATGGGGTAAAACTTAAGATTAATATCTGCACTTGTGTGTATTATTTTAGGTTGCCCTCCAGCCTTGTGTTACACTAGGAGGATTACCCTTTTCAGTAGTCGAGGGGCGTCCACGTCGAGAGTGCATCTGCGCTCAATGACATGAGTCGCTCCATCCTCACTCTTGCTCTCGTAGATAATGTCACTGTGTACAAAAATGGGGATGAGAGGACATGTTGGGAATCTTCTCTGGTAGGCCTGTGGAAATGTGGAAGAGGGCAGAATAGTAAGACACTATTAGGACAGTAAAACAAACATGACAAACAATGCTCTTCCATATCTTTGTGAATAAATCAACATATCATTTGTTTAACACAATACAAGCCTTTGAAACACTGATATTGCAGAATGCTGCAAAATACAGATGAGCCAGTCACTATTTTTAATGTGTCTACTGAGTGATCAAGTTGACCTCAATTTTGGGTCAAGATGGCAAGAGGAAAAGATCTGATTTTGTGATTTTGAAAGAGGGTTCAAATTTTAGCTGAAACTAATTCCTGTATAAAAATTTGCGAATGGCAGTTTAATTGTCTTGTTCATTGTACACTGTTTTTTCACTGTAAGAATGCTGTAAAAATTAATGGTCAATACCTGTTTTTTTTAAAAAAGGGTTATGCATGTAAACAAACCATATATATACTGTATTTTAACACTGCTGCTGTAAATTTAAAGAAATAGAGGATAAATTCACAAAAACAAATGACCACTTATTTTAATGGTTCTTAGTGTTATTATTATGGTTTTGGGTCATTCTACAGAAACGTCAATTTTTGTGTCCCTAGCGTTTATGGATATATTACACAAAAAAAAAATGTTAGGGTTACAATTTATTTATATTTGTAAAAAAGTTATTTTAACAATTACACCTTCTTCAGCCATCAATTTAGCAATATCAGTTTTTAAATCAATCATCTAGAATTCCAAGCACCACAGAAGTGCTTGTCCCCACAGTCATGTGTAAAGGGTGAGTGGCATATTTTAAAGTAAAAACACGTTTTTTTGCAATTTTAACTACAATAATCTATACATGACTATGGAATATATAAATTAAATGACAAAGAAAACAAATGGCAAATAAATATTATAAAATATATAAAGAAAGTTGTTGTCCCCAGGGGTCATGTCACTGGTGTTACCGCATAACAAAAAATCTCTTATTTTAAAATAAAAATGACTGATTGACTTCCTTTTACCTATTTTCTGAGGATCTATGAAAAAAGCACATGGTAAGTCCACTGTGTCTTTCAGTTATCAGAAATTTTCTCATTTAGCTCATGATTTCATATGAAGCTTTTAGTTGAAGCCACTGGTACAACCTACTTTATTCTTAAGTAATTATGAAAAAATAGAATACAAATGGATTAAATTACATATTTTAGTGGATATTCCATGATTGACAACATGTGGTTTGATGCTCTGTAGCAGCAATTTTGTAAAATTCATTTTTCATTAAAAATGTCACTGTGTTACTGTCACTCTTGTTACGTTTCTTATGTGTAACACCAAGGAGGATAGGTAACACCAGTGACACCTATGGATAGACAGAAAAGTGGACGTTTCTGTAGAATGACCCTTATATACTGTTTGTTAGAGTAACTAGTTGAACTACAGAAACTACTGAGTTACAAGGAAAGGCAGTATTAAATGACCGTAATTTTACAGATTTTTACCCTAAAACATACTTTTACTGTTGATTAAGTTTTGTCTGGCACCTCTGCTGCTGGACATTGTACCATTTTTTACAGATGTTTCTTTACTGTGTGCATCTATTAAAATGTAAGCCTACAGTGTCCAAATAGGCTGATCAGGTATCTCGTTCCCTAACTGTCAACACTTAGTAACTCCAGTTCAAAAAACAAACATTACTCACTGCTGCCCTCTAAATGTGCACTAGTCAGAACCTGGAAGACTCATTATGTGTCTCAAAAAATGTCTTCTGCTTTCTTTCATTTACATGCATTTGCATTAATCAAACCAATGAAAACACAACCTATTCACATTCTGTTTATTGTGACCTAAATATGTCATTGTAAAAGCTTAGACAACTGTGAAAAATAATAGCAACCAGCTTAAATAATTCATGCGATTAAGTAATGACTGTGACAGGCCTAATGTCAATGCAGGACATGATCAGACTGTGTCAACAAGAAAAGTCCATCCACAACTACATACCAAGAAATATTATGGAATATTATAGCAGGGTTGCAGTGCCAAAACCCCTTATTAGAAAGAGGAATGCACGTTTGAGAGTGGAATATCTTTTTGGCAGAATGGAGTTCCATTTTTCCAGTACAGCTCCAGAGACTTTAAGTATCTATGCCAGGTGCACTGAAGCTGTTCTGGCAGCTTGTGGTGGCTCAACACCTTAGTACAACACTTTAGATCGGTTCTCTTTTCATTTGTCACCTGTCTGTTTTTCTCAATCACAATACCTAGCAGCACAAATGCAATATAGAATTTTTCCATATTCTGTAGGCCTAATTACAAGCAGTCATGTTACTACAGTGAGTGCACAAACACTAGAAAAACACCTTCAAAAACTTCAAAAAGACAAGGCCAGGCCTAAAGGCATTTGCTTTTATGGCTGAAAATTTGTGAAGAGTCAAGATTAAGAACAGTATTCCACTTTACTAAAGCATCAGCTTTACTGCCTTTTGACTCATTTTCTATAGCTGTCTTTAAAGCTCATATGAGCGAGCTAATTACCCACACTATCTCTGTCAATATTTACCCAGAACCTTCTGTTAAACAGCCATCTCTGTGCTGCTGGCTGTCTGCTGATGTGACTCATGCATACTACTCAGTTCCTTCTAGTCTGAACTTAAGGACCCCCATCGAACTAGACAAAAGTCTTGCACATATGGTTACAAGACATAACTATTAACGCAATATTAGCACTGCAGCTAAAGCAGTTCTGGGTCATCTATGCACACTTGTACCTGAAGTCTGGAGCAATCTGCCAGCAGCTTTATTGACTTTAAGGAAGGTCAGTCCAGCAATGCTGAGACATTTTGCTGTAGCAAGATTGTTTTGTATGAGTGGTTAATGTGTTTGACCTGGTGTGTTTATCCTTGTGTTATGGAAGGTAACATGCAGGTCAGAGAAGTTCCTGCTCCTGTCTAAAATTAACACCAAGATGCACTCACTCACTCATGTGGGGGAGGAGAATAATACACAAACAATTTAACTTCACAACACTTGAAAATATTTTTTACAATATGTGATACGTATCACTATGTAGGGCCAGACTTTCTTTGTATCTCCTTTTCTTCATTTTACATTCGTTAATAACTGTTTAATTTGAAAACTCCAGTTTCTCTGGAGTTTGCACGGTGTTACAATTTCACCATGAGTGGACCAATAGAAATGGTCCAAAAAATCTTCTTACATGAGCTTCCATTACAACTTAAGAACGTTTCTCTACTCTTGTAAAGTTACCATTTTGAAGATACAAGGTTTTGTCCCAACGGCAACAATATTTCACGTGGAAAGAGTTATTGTGCAGCCTAAAGTGGAAGCAAAAGAAAAAATAAAAGACAATGGACAAAAATCAAAGAAATCCAACAAAATTAGCAGAATTATATCCTTCTTTTTATAGAGAAGAAAAGGAAAGCTTGGTTTAATTACACATCTGAATTAATGAACTGAAGTAACTGCAGCTCTTCTCCTAGGCTTTGAAAAAAAGATTTTTCCAGTCAGGTCCTGTCAATAAATCATTCCAGACTGTTAATTTGAATAGCCTCCTTCCTATTTTTGCCAACAGGCCCATGCCTGAAAATGCACGTTCATTAAGCCAGAAACGCTAAAACCTGCAGCTCAGTGGTGCCCTCATGTGTTTGTGCAAAAAGACTGCTGCCTTAGTAAATCTGGCCTTTAGTTTAACTATGAGTACAATGTTTTGTATTCAATGTCAATGAACAACTATTCTAGAAGTACTGACAATACCCATCGTATGTTAAGAAAAACATACTGTTACATAATTTGCCATGATATAACTAACATATTTTCATATTGCCCTTTCTGACATTCGTGCATTAAACTCTCACATTCAAACTTCTTGTTTTTCTGTGCCAAACACATGACCTCCAACCAGCATCTTATATCATGCTCCTTTGAACTGTTGTTCTCTTTTAGTCTGATTCTATGGAACTATTTATTTATCTGTTCTGCAACCTACGTTATTGTTTCTCTGTCTGTGGCATACAAACATCCAGACCTTTAATGTTACACCGACTGGTGTTGTGTCTAATCAGTATACTGCTGTTCGTAGGCCTCTTCCATTACAGTAATTGATGAAATGATGAGGTGCTTACAGTTTGGAGTAAACAGCCTCGCTGCTAATGCAACAGACAATGGAAGCAACATGTATTTCCAATGTATTGGAACATCTAGTTCTCCATTCCAAATATAAAAGAAACTCTGGAGCAGCCCAGCATGTAGCTGATGTTTGTTCTACAACTTAGTCAATGAATGAGTCAAGACATGTTCAGTGTTTAGCCTTGGATTAACCACTAAGCTTCTATACATGAATGAAGTAAATTCCTGTATTAAGTTTGCACCCTGAGGCAATAATGTGTGTAATTATTTGAATGTAGTGAGTCATTCCTACTGGATGGAGCTACAAATATGGACATTAACACTAAAAATACCCCTAAATATCAGCGTTGCTGAATGATTCATTCCAAGAGTCTACACTGACTTGTTAGTTTATTAGACACACTTACTTTGTACCCACATTCACTGGTAACAGAAACATTTGGCATAAAGGTCTTTTGTAGATGTACAATTACTGACTGTAGGTCATCTGATTCTGCACAGTTTATCAGCCCTCCTCTACCCACCCATCAATGAAAAAGGACCTCCACAGGACCCCCACTGGCCAGATATCATTTGGCTGATGGACCATTCTTAGCACAGTAGTGTTACCGACATGGTAGTATGTGATGGGTTGATATGAGTGTATCAGGCACCTCAATGTCACTGCTGGGCTGAGAGTGGTCTGCGAATCACAATTATCCAGACAACAGTGGTCTTGTGGTCAGAAATTGACCACTGCTGAAGGATGAGTAGCTTACCGAAGGATATAGAAAGACATGCAAAAAGCAAAATAAGAATTAGAACTGTAAGCACATTTTGTGTATTTTTGTGCTCTTTATGACACACAGTTTCACTGCAAAGTGCTGCTCTTATGAAGCATC